CACACACACACACACACACACACACAGGCCTCAGATCAATAGAGCTATGGGAAGCAATGGATCTCTTGAGCTAATTAAATCCAGCAGCAAACCACTTCACTTGAAACCACTCATTCTCTGGGAACTGGACTTTATCTGAGTGGAACCATAAAAGCAGGGAAATGAACATGCATCTCTCTCTCTCTCTCACACACACACACGGACACACACACACACACACACATACACACAGACCTCATTCTGTCAGTAAGGACAGACCCCACTACTGTTGCAGCCAGTTGGTGCTGTCATTGTGTATGTACTGTAAGCCTGTGTGTGATGTGTGACTGCATTTATAAAGACTTACAGGTGAGACAAGGAGACCACATCACTGAAGATACCCTCCTGCAGCTCAGAGATGTCGTTGCCATGGAGAGAGCTGGAAGACAGATACACTTACGGGTCAGAAAAGGTTATAAATAGTTAAACTGAAAACTCAGTGACCGCAGTGACTCTGACAGCAACTCTCATTCACCTCGACAACAGAGGGACATTTAAAGTCCTAAAACAGATGATGGCTTATTATAAAGCAAAGAAGTGACAGTGATGTGGTTTGGCATGTCGCAAGTATGATACTGTGTGTGTGTGCATGTGTGTGTGTGCATGTGTGTGCGTGTGTGTGCTCACAGCAGTCTAAGCGAGCGCAAGCCACCCAGTGCCAGAGGAGGGATACAGCGCAGTTCATTGTAACTGAGGATCCTGGAAGAGAAGAAAAGATCAAATTAAATGCAGCAGAACCAAAGATGATGTGTGTTTTACTCCACAATGCAACCCACACAGCGGCAGTTGGTAAAGTCTGACTGCTCTTGAGTGGAAGAGGCTCCAGCCCCCTGTGACTTTGAACTGGATAAGCAGTTTTTGCATGAATGGATGGATATAAATTGCTGCAGCACTGGAAGTTGAACGAGAGTGAAAGTGAAGATTCACAGACAGATCAGACAGACCTACATTCCTATCCTCACCTACGGCCATGATCTGTGGGTAGTGGACTAAGAAAGAATAAAATTGCAGACACAAGTAGGAGAAATTAGCTTCCTCCACAGGGTGTCTAAAGCCACTGCTCCTGCAAATCAACATGTTTAAGTAGTTCTGGCGTGTGACTAGGATGCTGGAGCTCCTCAGTAGCCTGTCGGTAAAGCCCTGGGGCAGGCCAAGGACGTGGTAAAGAGATCTTGTCTCTCTGCTAGTTTGTGAACGTAGTGGTTTCATTCTGAAAGAGCTGAGGGCAGTGGCTGTAGAGAAGGAGGACTGGGCATCTCTGCTTAGACTGCTGCCCTGTGACCCAAATAAGTAGTAGAAAATGGATGAATGGATGGACAGTGACAGTTTGGCTGAAGATTTGGAGTCTGAACCCTCCAGCATCAACCAGAGAAGAAGAGAGGAAAACAGAGGTTCGCCTTGAGGCGACTTTTGTTGTGATTTGGCGCTATATAAATAAAATTGAATTGAATTGAATTGAATTGAATTGAATAGAATAGAGGTCTGGGAAGATTGCTTGTTTTTAACTCCTTTTAACTTTTCAAACTTGAAGTTTTCACCTTCACCCAATGTTGACTCCTGTGTGTCTACTCGAGGTGCTTTATGAGATGTAACACATTTCTTTCTAACTTTATTCTGCTTGGGACTTTTAAACAGACTTTAAGGCCCAAAACAAAAATCATTTCATTGAACTTCTGGCCACATCCTTGAAACATGCTGTGGAAATTCAGTGACTAAATCTTTTTTTGATGGCCTCCAAGACTCTTTCTCTGGCCACAATTTTCTCTTAGGGTAAGATTTCCACTTTGTACACAAGCAGAGTAAAAATGTGCTGACAACTGCCATGTCTGGTTTTTACAACCCAATGACCTTTCCTCAGGGGTGAAATAAATATTTTTAGCCCCATTAGTTGGTCGACTTTAGGTTTTTCATGATTTGAAATGAACATTTGAAAACAAGCATTTACATTTTAACACGAGAAGCACTACAAACAATATCATTACATTTCATGTGTTGCAAACCAGAAGAACGTTTTGTTTTTAAAGTTCAAAATATTATATATAATATACGTAATATTAATATACTCTTGTTTTGCTTTGTGTGAAGCAAAGGCTCCAGTGTTGTGGCAGCCTGGGGCATTCTAGCGTTTAAAAATCTGTCTCTCCAAACGTAGCACATTTTAAAGGGGTTACATCTTAAAAAATAAATAAATAAAAGCAACATGGTAATCTCATAAACCCACTTTTCTTTCATAATTGAGCACAGAAATCCTATCAAAGGTTTAAAATGAGAAAATGTACCCTTTTAAGAAAAATATCAGCTCATTTAGAATTTGATGTCCACAAAAACATTT